TTCTGATGAAGTGGTCGGACTGGAACTGCTTGTTACCGCAGGGCCAGTGGAGCTTTCTGATGCAGTGGTCGGATTGGAGGTTGCTGTTATCACTGATTCAGTGGAGCTTTCTGATATAATGGAGGTGCTTGTTACACCTGAGCCAGTGGAGCTTTCTGATGAAGTGGTTGGACTGGAACTGCTTGTTACCGCTGGGCTAGTGGAGCTTTCTGATGCAGAGGTCAGATTGGAGGTTGCTGTTACCACTGATTCAGTGGAGCTTTCTGATATAATGGAGTTGCTTGTTACACCTGAGCCAGTGGAGCTTTCTGATGCAGTGGTCGGACTGGAACTGCTTGTTACCGCTGGGCTAGTGGAGCTTTCTGATGCAGTGGTCGTATTGGAGGTGCTTGTTACCGCAGGGCCAGTGGAGCTTTCTGATGCCGTGGTCGGATTGGAGGTTGCTGTTACCACTGCGCCAGTGGAGCTTTCTGATGCAGTGGTCGGATTGGAGGTGGCTGTTACCACTGAATCAGTGGAGCTTTCTGATATAGACGAGGTGCTTGTTACACCTGAGCCAGTGGAGCTTTCTGGTGTAGTGGTCGGATTGGAGGTGCTTGTTACCGCTAGACTAGTGGAGCTTTCTGATGCAGTAGTCGTATTGGAGGTGCTTGTTACCGCAGGGCCAGTGGAGCTTTCTGATGCAGTGGTCGTATTGGAGGTGCTTGTTACCGCTGGGGTAGTGGACCTTTCTGATGAAGTGGTCGGACTGGAGCTGCTTGTAAATGCTGGGCTAGTGGAGCTTTCTGAATCAGTGGTCGGACTGGAGCTGCTTGTTACCGCTGGGGTAGTGGTGCTTTCTGATGCAGTGGTCGGATTGGAGGTTGCTGTTACCACTGATTCAGTGGAGCTTTCTGATGAAGTGTTCCGACTGGAACTGCTTGTTACCGCTGGGCTAGTGGAGCTTTCTGATGCAGTGGTCGTATTGGAGGTGCTTGTTACCGCAGGGCCAGTGGAGCTTTCTGATGCAACGGTCAGACTGGAACTGCTTGTTTCCGCTGAGCTAGTGGAGCTTTCTGATGCAGTGGTCAGATTGGAGCTGCTTGTTACCGCTGGGGTAGTGGAGCTTTCTGAATCAGTGGTCGGATTGGAGCTGCTTGTTACCGCTGGGGTAGTGGAGCTTTCTGATGCAGTGGTCGTATTGGAGGTTGCTGTTACCACTGATTCAGTGGAGCTTTCTGATATAATGGAGGTGCTTGTTACACCTGAGCCAGTGGAGCTTTCTGATGAAGTGGTCGGACTGGAACTGCTTGTTACCGCTGGGCTAGTGGAGCTTTCTGATGCAGTGGTCGGACTGGAACTGCTTGTTACCGCTGGGCTAGTGGAGCTTTCTGATGCAGTGGTCGTATTGGAGGTGCTTGTTACCGCAGGGCCAGTGGACCTTTCTGATGCCGTGGTCGGATTGGAGGTTGCTGTTACCACTGATTCAGTGGAGCTTTCTGATATAATGGAGGTGCTTGTTACACCTGAGCCAGTGGAGCTTTCTGATGCAGTGGTCGGATTGGAGCTGCTTGTTACCGCTGGGGTAGTGGAGCTTTCTGATGAAGTGGTCGGATTCGAGGTTGCGGTTACCACTGATTCAGTGGAGCTTTCTGACATAATGGAGGTGCTTGTTACACCTGAGCCAGTGGAGCTTTCTGATGAAGTGGTCGGACTGGAAGTGCTTGTTACCGCAGGGCCAGTGGAGCTTTCTGATGCAGTGGTCGGATTGGAGGTTGCTGTTACCACTGATTCAGTGGAGCTTTCTGATATAATGGAGGTGCTTGTTACACCTGAGCCAGTTTTCTGATGCAGTGGTCGGATTGGAAGTGCTTCTTTCCACTGGGCTAGTGGTGGTTTCTGATTCAGTGGTCGGATTGGAGGTGCTTGGTACCGCAGGGCTAGTGGAGGTTTCTGATGCAGTGGTCAGATTCGAGGTGCTTGTTACCGCTGGGCTAGTGGAGGTTTCTGATGCAGTGGTCGGATTGGAGGTGCTTGTTACACCTGAGCCAGTGGAGCTTTCTGATGCATTGGTCAGATTGGAGGCGCTTGTTTCCGCTGGGCTAGTGGAGGTTTCTGATGCAGTGGTCGGATTGGAAGTGGCTGTTACCACTGAGTTGGTGGTGGTTTCTGGTGTAGTGGTAGTACTGATGCCTAGTAATAACAATAAAAGCATTATTAGCAGTAATAATCATAATTATTATTTTGTAAATGCTTTAGCCATTATGTGGAAATTGTTCCCAATCTCCCAACATGACACGTAAATATTATAAGCAGAGCGAGCCGGCATATCTTTAGTTCCAAATAATGATACTGTCAATGAAATGAATGTGCAATAACTGGTAATTAGGAAAAATGAAATGGGATTCCAATCAATTATTTTTGTTATTGGTATTTAAAATTTAGTTTTAAAAATTGTTAATCTGGATGATATTGGTACTCAAAGGGAAAAAAACATGAAATCATGTAGGAGCTTATTTTTATGTTATACATAGCTCATGGCTCCCATGAGCACTTTCAGCTAGATATGTTCTTGGAGTTCTGTGCTTTCTAAATGTGCATGGGCCTGATTTGGATTTGGACTATAACATGTAGGGAGAAGTAGTCTAAGCCTCCCTTTGTGCCAGAGCTGCTAATAGCAACCATGGGCCCCTGGAGAAATTTTCCACCTCTTTCCCCCCGCCATATGACTCCGATCCAAACCATTTGTCTGATTTTGTAATTTTACATTTGTACTTATATACCAATATAGGACACACTTTTAAAATCTAAGTGGGCTGTACTTCATAAAATCTTCATATCACAGTAAATCTTTAGTAAGTACATCAGTAAGAGATCCATTTACGTGTACCCTTGTACCTATAACTAGCACAAAAGCAGGGACAAATGTGTTATATAGTAGTGCTGGATGAGAAGTACTGGGATCATTAGGATTGATTTTGCTGACATATTTTGTAAAATGATTGTGCCATTTGTTATATAACAGGAAGCTTAATGTCTACAGTAGCAAAGTGGCATTTACAGAGGAATATTAGATGTCCCACCAATACAACTCACTGCCTGAACAGCGTTTTAAATATCTATATATCTAATAGCCAACTTGCCCCCTCCATGTGGATATCTAAATCCGCACATCGGGGGCACTTGGGGGGCAGGGAGATTTTCCTGCACATTTGGGGCAATCCCCAGATGTGCAGAAAAATCTGAAAAGTTGGAAAAAATGGGGGGATACTTAAATTCCCCTAAAAGTAAGAGTGCTCCCTGCGCGTGCCTTGGTGTTTAGTTATGCGGCCCAGTTCCAGAGTGTTTATTGAGATGTTTGCTTATGTTATTATAATTGTTACTTTTAAAATAAATTTAATATTAATCATTAAAGTATGGAATTGGAAACTTTTTAAAAAAATGATGTTTTATTGGTTTTGTCAAAACCGTTTTGACAACAAACAAGGTAAACAGAATAAGAAGCAAAAGGTGGGTGTGGCTGGATGACCACACTTCTGGTAACATGGGGGTGTGGCCTAATATGTTAATAAGCTGTGCTTTCAGGGTGTGGCCTAATATGTTAATGGGTTTCTGCTGTTGGGTGTGGCCTATTATGCTAATGACTTCCTGATGGGCTTTTTCTACAAAAAGAGCCCTGATTTTGGGGTTGGTGGCCAGTTTTCAAACATGTGCCATTATTTTCTGAGTTATGCCTGCCACAAACAGAGACCCTTAGCTTCCATTGCAGATTGCAATGGATGGTGATGGTTTGTTTCCCCTGGGCCAGGATTTTCCCATCTCCCATGTCTTTCCATTTTGGCTCTGGAACTCCCAGAATCACTCTGAAGCTGGTGGCCAATTCTGAGTCTCCTAGCTTTATTCTCTGATAAGTTATGCCTGACAGTGTGATGCAGTGGTTCAAGTGTCAGGCTAGGATCTGGAAAACCCAGGTTCAAATCCCCACTCTTCCATGATCAAACCCGGTTCTCCCAGATTAGAGTCCGCTCACTTGACTGTGGTAAGAAATATTAGAAATATAGAAGAAGGTTTGGGTTTAAAATGAACTAAAATAGTATACATATTTCTCTCTGCCCTTGCTAGGCCTGTTTGAATCAAAGCCCGTGATTCTTTTGCAAAGCCCTTTTTTCCCCAGAAGGATCTTTTTCTTGGTCACACATGCAAGGATGTAAAAACATTCCAAGGATGTAAAAACATTCCATTTCCCAGGAAAATCACTGATGTGGGACTTGCCAATACTCCAATTTCCTAGGCAATAAGGTATATGACCATTTGGAAAATTGGCAGACTCCAATCCATCTCTCTGATAACATCAGAGCAGTCTATTTCCCATGATTGGGAAACACCTGAAGTAAACCATGGCACTGTATTGACCTTATGGAATGTGAGTAAATGTTAACTGTGATACAATCGTCAAGGGACTTCTTTGATGTTGGGTATAAATACTGGTCAGAGCCCACAGACTTTAGCTGACTCCGAAAGGAGACAGCCAAGGGAGGCCTCTCGAGCGCATGCATGGGGTGGGGAAACTTTGCTGCATGTTTATTTTTCTGTGTGTATGCTATCAAATGTTTAGGAATTAGGACTCTGAATGTTTTTCTATAATAAAGATTGGTTTATTTTAGTGATTTCCAAGCTTGCACATCTGCCTTTGGTACGGGGCGACACTCAGGAGACATACACAAACTGAGGGGGGAGTGTGGGTGACATGGGTAAGCACGCTTTCACAGACAATGTGCAGACACACACCCACAACCCAAAAATCTCACAACACCTATCTCACAGGGTTGTTGAGGAGAGGAAAATTATGTAAGCTACTTTGGGTCCCCATGAGGGAGAAAGGTGCCCCTTGTGAGCCGCCTTGAGCCTTCGGGGAGGGTGGGATACAAATCCAAAGATAAATAAATAAATATAAATTAAATAAATAAATAACAGATGGACAGACAGGCCAATTCTTTTGTTACTTTACATTCATGATAACAGCAAGCTAAGTGATTTGTTTTGTTATGATATTTGGTTTGGATTGGGGTCATTTGGGGGAGCCCAGGTGGAATCTTTGTCTGGGGACTCATGGGGGCTCTCAGCAGCCCTCCCCTAGGTTGCCCAGTAACCTTCCATGGCAGATTGGGGATTCAAACCTGGGCCGCCTTGATCCTAGTCTGGCAATCTAATCACGACACCCAGGTTGCCAGCTCCAAGTTGGGAAATTCCTGAAGATTTTTTGGGGTGGGGTCTGAGGAGGAGAGGAACCTCAGCAGGATATATACCATACAGTTAGTCCCCAAAGAAGCCATTTTCTCCAGGGGAACTGATTTATGTAGTCTGGAGATTAGTTGTAAATTCCAGGACAACTCTAGGAAGCAACTGGAAGTTGGCAACCCTATTTTTCCATTCCCTTCATTTTTGGCATCATCCCAAAGATGGTGGTCAATTATGAGCCTCTTAGCTTTATTTCTTATTACTTATGCATGCCACAAATAGAGTATGTTAGCTTCCATTCCAAATA